AGGCTCCAAGGCATTCCTTGAAATCTCTTCAATGTCCACAATGCTCCCCAGAATTGTTAGTTTTCTAAAGTGAAAACTTGATTGACACATGTGGCCAAAATTCAGCAGCAGACATATTTATGCATAAATTATGTGACAAAATGCATTATAGTTAATGCCATAATGACTAACAGAGAATTTGGTTCCTTTTGTTTTACTATATAGTAGTCTATGGGTCATTCCACATAGCCCTATATCCCAGAATATCAAGGGAGAAAATCCCATGTTATCCGAGTGTAGATTCAGATAACACACTTCAAAGCAGATATTGTGGGATTTTCTGCCTTGATATTCTGGGATATAGGGCTGTATGGAAGGGCCCTAAATCTTATTCATTAGGATCAATTTAAGTACATTTACCTAAGTTTATTGTAAGTGATTGTAAATTGAATCATATATGTATGACTTTAAAAAATAAATGTAATAATATTACATTAAATATAATTTAATTAATGTAAGTTTATTCAACAGCTAGTCTATCTTTTTCTCCTTAATGGATTTTTTGAGGTAAGGAAAAAACCAGAAAGAACCATGGAAAAACAAGAAGAGTACAACACCATATATCACAATTTGTGTTGCTGGGTTATAAATCTCAATTCCTAATTGTTTTTTATCATAAAAACATGGGAAAAGTTTGTTAAGCTGCAAAAGTTTTGTTTTTGTGGTACATCATGCATAACTTAAATTAAACCAAACCAGTTCCAGAGTTGGTTTGGAAGATTGTTTTAATTGCTCAACACATTTTAAAAAATGCTGTTTTTATTTGTTGTGCATCATACTGTGCATTCTGGCAAGCTGAGAAGGGATAAACAAACAGCCAGTACAATGATTTAATTATTATATAAACTGACTTGTTCATTAATTTGAACACTGCAAGTCCTGAATGTTTCTGACAATAAAATCAAATAAAGGCAGAACTTGGAAGTAATATTAGCAATAATGTAACATTAGTAACAATGTAATCAGTAACTCTACAATGGGTGTAATAAGGAGATGAGTGATTTCTTGTGTGTGAAATTTAGTAAAAAATTGCGAGGATACTGATATTTAATGAAAAATTGACTCTTTTTTTCATTTTCTTCAGAGATTAAAATATGTGTGCTGTCACACGCTGGGCCTATAGCAGCTGGCTTTTGAACAGGACGTGCTCTTTGTGCCCAGTGGGAAGCCGGGGTGCCTCAAGTGAGAGGCCCTAAGGATTTTCCTATACAGAGTCTTTAGAAGCTTGAAAGGTTTAACAAAGTCCTTTATTATTGCTTAAGTCTTCAACAAACAATCAAATACTTCTTAGATCTTCAACAGGTCAAACAAATCCTTCAAGGCTTTGAATCAACTGGTGGCTTTCTTAATCTTGTCCACAAGGGACAGGCAACTGGCTTCGTGAACTGTTTCTTTTCTTTAAGAGGAAAACTCTTTTTAACCCCTCCTAGGGCAATCTACTTTCTAAACTTTGCTGGTGTGGGCTCTATTCCCGACTCCAAACTGCTTCTTGGGTCCCGAGTAGACCTACCAGTCAAGGCTTTGTAGATTCTCCAGCTGGAGTCTTTTGGAACTGTTTTCCCCCGGAATTTCCCCCGGATGCTGTGAGAAACGAAGCTTCTCTACAGGTGGAGCTAATCCACGTCCTATAGCTAAGCTTTCCAATGCAAGACTGGCCTAAAATGGTTCCCTCTCCTCCCAGAGCCCTGGGGAAAGGGGCAGAACCAAAACTTAAGAATGATTGATGGGTCATTGGCCCTATAATTGCAAACCAAGGGAAGCCACCTTATTGCAAAATGCATGGAACTTAGGAATACATGCAAACACTCAAAGAAAGAAAAAGAAGTTGGAGCTCCTGGTACAGCCGTATCAGCACAATATGTTTGGAAAGCATGCATAGACATTTCCACCCTATTTATTTATTTTGTTATCTATCGTGTCAGAAGCAAATTGAGAATACAGTTATAATGTATAGAAAAACCGCAAACACTGCTCTATACCTTCAAAAAAGGAACAAAGTAATGAGTAACTGATATAACTCATGACAACAGTGACTAATTACTTTTCCTCTTGTAGAGAGCTGCAATTATTTTTTAAAAAGTAACTTTTGAGGGAAATTGTAGGAAGTGGTTTAAAAATTGGAAAAATCCATCTGTAGATGTTGGGAGATAGCAGTCAGCATTTAGGAGGACCAGGGGCGGCTCAACCCATTACGCAAAGTAAGCATTTGCAGTATAGTTTATTCTGCCCAGGGGCGCTCTTGAGGTGCTCTTGGCGGAAAATAGACCTTGACATATGTGAGTTGTAGACACTGGGATGTATAGTTCACCTACAATCAAAGAGCATTCCGAACTCCACCAATGATGGAATTGAAACAAATATGGCACCCAGAACTCCCACGACGAACAGAATATATATTTATCAGTGATTGGTCGGGAGGGGCAAAAGTTGGGAGGGGGGGGCGCGCCAAAATACTGTTTACTTACTGTTGAAAATTACCTAGAGCCACCTCTGAGGAGGACAGAGATGGCTGTTTGTTGCTTATGTGCATTGCCTAATTCACTTTTAGCATGTTCCATATGATTTTATCCTTGAATACATAATTGCACAGAACAATTTGCGAGTGTGAATCAGCTCAAGGAATGTAAAAAAGCAATTTAATGTAAAGAACAAGACTCTGTTTTCATGCTTAAGCAGGGAGCACTGATTCTATACTTCTGCATGGCTAATCAAGGGAGTCCCGCTATCATTAATGTTTTCTCTTTCCTTACTAAAAACAACTTAAGTACATGAACTAAATGAATTTTTCATTAACTCAGGAAACTAGGGAGATTGTCTTGGCCAACAGAGTTTATATCTAGGCATATGTATGATGGTTAGTAATAACAATTTGAAAATTAACCCACTTGTAATGGAGAAAAACCTTGCCCTGGGGAACTATGTTACAAAAATGGCAAATTAAATGTGTTTAGATTGGAGGATTTGATCAATTGTACTTAAATCAGTCCAGGACCTTTTTTTACATCTCCAGGTATTTGCTGTCAAAGATAAACTAATAATTTGTTTTGTTAAGCTCTGAAAAAGTGATTCTAGAGCAGTGGTTCTCAACTTCCCTTAATACAGTCAGTGGTTCCCTTGATGTATGGCAAGAACACTTTTCCTCTGGGTGGATCTTCATCTTTATTCTCGTGGCTTGTTCTCAGTCCTGCAGCTCATAGCATTTTCTCAGGCAAAGAAGATCCACCCAGAGGAAAAGTGTTCTTGCCATACATCAAGGGAACCACTGACCGCATAGGGAAGCTGATGAGGAAACACAACATACAAACTATCTACAGACCCACCAAGAAAATCCAACAAATGCTACGTTCAGCAAAGGACAAGAGGGATCCTCTCACTTCTGCAGGAGTCTACCGTGTACCATGCAGCTGTGGACAAGTCTACATAGGGACCACCAAACGCAGCATTGCCCAAACATGAATCAAGGAACATGAAAGGCATTGCAGACTACTTCAACCAGAGAAATCAGCCATAGCAGAGCACCTGATGAACCAACCTGGACACAGCATTTTATTTGAGAACACAGAAATGCTGGACCACTCTCACAACCACCATGTCAGACTACACAGAGAAGCCATTGAAATACACAAGCATGTGGACAGGCCCGTAGCCAGGATTTCGTTTCGGGAGGGGGGGGGGCTAAAAAAATTTCAGGGTTTTTTTTGGGGGGGGGCTGAGTCTGAGTGAAAGAGGGTCTAGCCTAGCAAACCTTTTGTATCATTACCCCAATACCCCCATGCATATGGGATATTTGGAGTATGGTGATCAGATCATGATATGAATAAACATAACAGTTTAAATAATGCACCAGTAAGGCCTTTTCGCAAACCACCATGAGAATTTCGGGGGGGGGGGGGCTGAAGCCCCCCAAGCCCCCCCCCCCCCAATGGGTTGTGGACAATTTCAACAGAAAGGAGGAATCCATGAAAATGAACAAAATCTGGTTACCAGTATTAAAAAACTCTAAAATTACAACAGCACAACAACAGAGAGGAAACAAACAAGGACATCTAATCACCTCTCAACAAAAGTTTTCCAGGCACTGTCAGGCCATTATATGCTAATCAAGGTGGTCAGTTGAAACAAGAATCTGGGTAATTTGGTAGGAAGAATAAGGCCATATTCGACAGTGTGTAGGACTGAGTTAGAACTGGTCATTTTCAAAGGCAGGTCTTCAAGCTCTTATGAAAGGAGGGGAGGGATGGAGCCTGTCTTATTTCCCTTGGAAGGGCGTTCCAGAGATGGTGGGGGGGGGGGCACCACTGAGAAGGCTCTCTCTCTCTTGTCCCCACCAACTGCACTTGAGATGGTAGTGGGACCAAGAGGAGGGCCTCCTTGGATGATCTTAGAGCTTGTGCCGGTTCATAGAAGGAGATGCGATCACGGAGATAGGCGGGGCCCGAACCGTTGACATTTTATATAAGGCACACCATTTTACTAGGTCACTGTATGCAACAGGACTTAGGCATTCATATATTTTGGGATCCGTGAGTATTCCTGGAACTGAACCTAACTGGATACCAAGAGCCCATTGTAACTGTATAGTGTGAAAGGGCCCCATGACTCATGATTTGTATAAAGAAATCATTGAGGGATAGAAACAGGACAAACAAAATAAATGATCATGTGCATAATACCTACATGTGAATAAGTACTCTATATATATCTCTGTCAATGAATATTAGGTAAATGAAACCTTCATGTTGTGAAGATATGAATAACGGCTACTGAGGGTAAGAGAAAGTAATCAAGAAAAATATAATAATGAAAGAAGAAGAAAGATTTAACAGCACTCAAAAGCGAGCCTCTTTGAATTAATTTGTGCTTGTTCCCAATTAATTGTGCATAATTGAGGCCTAAATGCTGTACTTTTGTGCTCCCTGGTGTGGTTTAGTTCCTGTAACAAATGCATTCTCATTTTACAGGTTTCTGCATTAATATCACCTACAGCCAGTGTCAAATGCTGCCATACAACCGTACCACTTCAACACCAGTCCTTTCCATTGTCAAAAGCATTGAAATTGAAAAATTTATCAAGTTCTTCGGTTATCTCAATCGCCTCAGCTGCTATCAACACATCATGCTGTTTGGATGCAGCCTTGCTCTTCCTGAGTGCATCAGCAATGGCGATGACAGGTATTTGGGAACAAAAATTATGTCGTGATTACAGCTTGTTAAAACAGAACACTGTCTTCCATTCCTAACAGTAACAATATAGTCCAGAGTATTACACTATGACTTTTTTTTGTTAAAACCGCTCTGCTATTTGTGATGCTCACTAACAGATTTCTGCCAAGCAAAGCTGACTAAAAGAATAATGCTGTAATATGATTATTTAGGAACAACTAGTTAGCCTGTTGTTATGATTGTTTTTACAGAGTAACATCGGTGAATAATTTTGTTAGGGATTATGGATCTGAGCCAATTCCTCCAAAGGTTGTACTAATCTGCATTTTCAAAATGGCTTGTGAAACTGCTTTCCCAGATAATTCTTCAATATAATAATAATAATTCAATTAAATTCAATATAAATTAATTGTTACCTTTCCCAAAAAGCCATTTCCTAGTCTCATAAGGTGTTCTTGTTCCTATTTATTTCATATTAATGCAGTTGCACTTCACATCTGTTTTCTTTATAATTGCTTTTTTCTCTCTAGCAGTTTTCCCATTTGTTTTTTTTAAATTATGGAAGATTAGCACATAAAGCAAATTTACATAAACATATACATTGCTTAAGGTGCTCAATTCTTGCTTCTGAGTCACATGTGCAAACAGTCATTCCTGGAAAATATTGTTAAATTATTGGCATCAGGCAATATGATGATAGCAACAATGATAATAATAGTGATGATAATGGCAATTTATCAGCTAGTATTTCTGTGGCTGGTAGGCCGGTAGGTAGGACAACTTAATTAGTGGTAGGATCATACATCTGTTGAAATGGATGACAGTGGGCAGGACCAGGACTCACAAGAAGTGAAGCCAATGGTGGAGTAACTCCAAAACAAGACTTCCAAATTCTTTAAAGCAGTGGTTTTCAACTTGTTGGCCATGGCCCAGCACTGGGCCACAAGAACAACAATCCAATCCATGAACCTCCTTTTTCTTTCTTTATTTTATTTCTGTTCCTTTCCGCAGAGCAGACCAGCCCCACCCCTTATGGTACTAATGTTGGAGAGTGGTCCCTGGTCAAAGTCCCTCAGCAAGTGAGTCCTGGTCAAAGTAGTCCCTGTTCAAGTGGGCCCTGATCCACTTGACCAGAGCTTTTAAAAGAGGTCCCTGGTCAAAGTGGGCCCTGGTCAAATGGACCCTGGTCAAAAAAGGTTGGGAACTACTCTAAAGGGATGCAAAACAGCTTTCTTGCAACTCCTCTTCCAGTAAGGAGCCAAAGGCAAAGGTGGGTTGGGGAGGGGGGTAGATTGAGGCTCAGGTTTTGGAGAGTTGGGAAGGCTCTGCTCCAAGGAGAATAGGGTCCTCTTCTTATTTCTCTTTGCTTGCCCCTCCATTTGCCTTTGCCTTGTCCCTGGGAAGAGTCCACCCAAGGAGAAGAAGGAATGGAAGGAGGAGAGGAAGGCTGCATTCTCCTTGGAGCAGAGCCTTCCAAACTTTCCGGAGTGATTGAGTTTTTGGGCTGTAAGTGTCTGGAATCAGGTTGGTGGTGGGCAAAGGGGAGCCACTTGGGTGGGTGGGCAACAGGAGTGGTTTAGAGCACCAGGAAGCCCAGAGGTTGTGTGGATGGGGGCAGATGCTATTTCTTCCCACCAGCTGACTGGCCAGGGAAGTGGGGGAGCTGAAAAGTACCCAACAGGCAAACCCCCCCCCCCAACCTTTTGAAAATTGAGATGTGCATAAAAATCCAATTTTAGTATATGAAGCAAGAACAGGTGAGCATTAAAATCGCTGGCGCACTAGACTCGAGTAAATGCGGGTATTTTTTTATCATCCCTGCTAAGTCATAAATCTCAGAAAGAAATCTTTCTAACCAACATTATTCAAGAATTAGATCAAAATTGTGAAATTTGTGAAAGAAGCGCAACTGGCAAGACAGAGCCTAAACAACCGAGACCACCCACCCATTCCAGCATCTGGCAGAGCAAGAAAATAAACTTAGCCATCTTTGTAAAACATATAAAATATGGTAGCTTTATAGTCAAATCATTTTTGCATAATAAAATACAGAGAAGAGAAAAGGGAAAAGAAAAGGAAGGTTAGAGTATAATTGAGGAAGAGAGTGAAAACAGCCAACACACTTTGCTTAAATTCCCATAGATCAACATGCAAAGTAACAACTGGTGGAAAGATTGTCAACTTAACAAAAAGCAAAACACTGGATTTTGAAATGAATCCTTAACACATAGAAAGTATGAGCTGATGCCTGTTTGGCATCATCTACATTAGTTTCCAGTTATTTTTGGTTGAAATTCAGGCTGCTTTTCCCTTATGTTTAAGTAAGTTGAAATGAATGAATATATATGTTAGTTTTTAACACAATGAATTTAACTTGCTGTAGCTGTGCTAGTATAACTTCTCAGTGGAATGAGCAGAAATATATTGAATTCTCAACATCAAGAAATGCAATCATTTGCTGTGATTAGCACTGATTGTCTTCATGGTTTGTATGATTACTGTGGTGATGGTTTTTTGTGCAATCACAGTGATTGCACAGTCACGGCAAGTACAGATCTCTATGTGTTTTTTAAGTAGCCTCCACCCAAATTTCATCAATACCATCATCTATCCCAGCGGTATTTAACTGAATCAGCTGTGATTGATCACTGAATATTCCCTGTGTGTAGTTTTAATGCATTTTATTATTTGAATTTTTTATGTTTTTTTTAATTATTTTAATTTTAATGACACAAATGGTCAATTGTATTTCAATTTTTATATTAATATTTCAATGCATTTACACTGTTTTAATTTGCATTGTGTCATATTTATTATTTGCTACCTTGTGTCCCTATCTTGGGGGAGGATAAAGTAAATGCTTACATAAATAAACATTTGCTGATGATTTCCCATGTGGTTGCCAGGGGAAAACATCATGTTGGTCTTTTTCAGTGACCCCAAGATACTTTCCAGATATACATTGTAACATACTAAATATACAATTGCTGTTCATTTTATTTATGTAAATTTCTTTTAATAAACTAGACTTCCCATTTCCATGCTTAATTTTAATAGGCAAAGTTTTGAATTTTTTTATAAAATTATATTCATAAAAATGTAATAATGTTTTGAAAAATGATACACAATTCTGCTTTTTGTCTTATCACTAATGCTGATCAGGATTTAAAGAGCTATGCAGATTATTCTTCATGCTCAAGAAAGTTTTGAAGCTGCATTTCTCTGACACCCCTCACTTTCTGATTATGAACCACATTTGAAGCTCAAAGAAAAAGAGTTTCTAATATGTCTAATGTGTGAGGGTGTAGTGTTCAGGTTCAAATATACTTTAAACATAACTCAAAAGTGTCTCTATTAGACCTCTTCTAGATCTCTCAGCAGCTTTCAATACTATTGACCATGATATCCTTTGGAACACTTGGAGGGGCTGGAAATCAAAGGCACTGTGTTCCAATTGTACTTCGCAGGCAGGCTCCAGGTAGTGGTGTTTGGGAATAGCTCCTGCAATGCACTTTACATTGGACTACATTTGTACTAAGTTTGGAAACTCCAGTTGGTTCAAAATACAACAGCCAGATTGGTTCCCGGAACATCCAGGAGTGAGTATTTTACGCCCATACTAAAGTTACCCCACTGTCTGCCAATGAGTTCCTGGGCTAAGTACAAAGTGATGATTTTGACCTCTTAAGTCCTATATGGTTTGAGTCAAGGTTGCCTACAAGATCACTTTTCCTCTAGCAAACAATAGTGAAAGGACCAAGGCAGTGACATCTCCAGCCCATCCCCTGTTTGGATATCAGCCAGCATGCCAATAACTTAAATCAAGAAATAGTTTTCTAAGATCTGCAGAGACACTCACTGGAACACCTCAGCAAGCAAGAGTCCAAAAGTGGCAGGCTAAAACCCAGAAACTCAATCAATGGCTGATACCAAATGAGAGACTCCTCCTGGGCACACACAAAACTGGGTGACTTGGAAAGCGCTGAACATACTGTGCTCTGGCACCACAAGATGCAGAGCCAACCTTAAGAAATGGGGCTACAAAGTGGAATCCACAACATGCGAGTGTGGAGAAGAGCAAACCACAGACCACCTACTACAATGAGTCCAGCCACATGCACAATGGAGGACCTTCTTATAGCAACATCAGAGGCACTCCAAGTGGCCAGCACTGGTCAAAGGACATTTCATAGAATGCCAAGTTTGCAAACTTTGTGTTTTTTAAATGCAATACAACTGTTTGGCTTGCTCCTGACACGATAAAGAAATACTTCTCCTGTACAATCCTCTTGGGGGGCGGCATCTCCAGTCTGCCAGAACCCGACTAGCAACCGTCACCCAGATGACCTTTTTATCGGTTGCCCCAAGACTGTGAAATGATCTGCCAGAAGATCTTCAACAACTAAATGAGTATTAGGAATTTAAAACACATTTGAAGACGTATCTCTTCCAGCAGGCCTACCCAGCCAGTTTTCATCATGAATTTTAAACATGTCTTGTGTTCATTATATTGTAATCATTGTTCTGTGTTTTTTAATATCTGTATTTTGTAGAAATACATTTTAATATGTGCATTTTATAAAATAATTATGTGTTTTAACTATGCTGTAACCCTTTTTGAGCCATGAGGAGAGGTGGGTAAGAAATATAATTCTTCTTCTTCTTCTTCTTCTTCTTCTTCTTCTTCTTCACCTCAGCTCAAGCATGTAGCCAGGGGGGGGGGGGCTTGGGGGGCTTCAGCCACCCCCTGAAATTCCCATGGTGGTTCACGAAAAGGCCTTACTGGTGCATTATTTAAACTGTTATGTTTATTCATATCATGATCTGATCACCATTCTCAATATATCCCATATGCATGGGGGTATTGGGGTAATGATACAAAAGGTTTGCTAGGCTAGACCCTCTTTCACTCAGACTCAGCCCCCCAGCCCCCCCGAAACCTCCCCTGAAAAAAATTCACCCCCCCCCCCCGAAACGAAATCCTGGCTACGGGCCTGCCTCAGCTGTAG